CCCCCCCCCACCCGAAGTTCCTCAAGCGGGTAAGGGAGAGGATTTGAAGCTGGACTTAACTCCCATACTGTAACTTGACAGAATCAACCCAGCTGCCAAATCAGCCAAGCGTCACCACAGGAGCTCCAGCCAGTTGGCTCTTTTGAATATGCACATGGCTGCACAAAGCATTGTGTTACTGAAACTGGAGCCCTGCATCCTGAGAGGGACTGATCCTCCCCAACTCAGAAGGGCTGGCCCATCATGCTGCTCTCCTTGCATTTCTTGAACAGCATAGGTCTACAAAAATGAGCTGGAAACTATATTTTAAAAGTGACAAAAGAATATAAGGGGGTTGCACTTGACAGGAGACCATACAGCATCTTGCATTTGTGGGTTGTGCTTCGCAAACATACTTTTGCTAGACCTCAATCCAGAGAAATGCACGTGTGACAGTGGTAAAGAGGGCCAGAACTAAGATACACAGTTCAAAAGCACAGGCTAGACCTCAAGTATGGTGGTTGAGCCAAAAACTTATCATCCCTATTTATTTCCAGAATCTATCCCCTTCCCAGGCTGGCAGAGGTGAGCAGACACAGAGAGCAAGCCAATGAGCAGAGCAGAGCAGACACTTCCTCAACATCTTCCTCCACCCATCAGAAGTCATTCACTGCCGCATTTCCATCATGCTCAAAGTCAACCTCTTCCTCCATGAGCTTAAAAAATTACAACTGGCATTGAAAATGTGAACTACCAGCTTTGCTCTGCAGTGGCAGACATGGAAAGTGTTACCGAACCCCTTTCCCGAACCCAAGCTACAGCGCATGTAACAGCATGAGTTTCTGTAGCTAGATCAAAGGCAGGGAAGGCAAGCAATAAAGCACACCCCAACAGTCCTTCCTAGCACTTTCTACTGGCAGTCACAACAAGGCACAGCCAGGAACAAATAGAGGGTTGTCAGTGCACAGGAACAGGCAGGAAATTAAGTGAATCCAGAGATCCTGATCACTGCAGAACAAAGGAGCTATGAAAAGGTTGCAGCAGCTTGAGGCAAACACTCATTTGGAGGGAGAGTGAAGCAGACCCAACCATCTGTTTGTTTTTGTGGCTCAACTGCATTTTGTTGCTGGGCAAAGCATGGAAACTTTAAAGAAAAGAAAAAATCCTTACTGAGACAGAGTAAGAAATAATAAGTCAGAAAGGGGAAAAAATGTTGGCAGAGCATCTGATGGCAGAAAATCCAGCAAAGCTACATCTCTGAAGTCAACTGCCCTTGACAGGTCACATTTGGATCCTTCTAATTCTGGTGAGGTAAAACCTGTCAAAACCTTTGCCTCCATGAGGAAAATACTCTCTCCTGCTCTCCCCTAAGAGGGCTGCTTTAACTGTCTTTATCACTGATAAGGAATTCCAGCTAGCTTGTAATTCACACCATTAGGACAGGACATCTTCCCCACAGAAATACAAGATGGGGCCTGACAACTGGAATCGGCCTTTGAAGTCACGGGGCAGTTTTCCTAGCTGGGTTTCTTTTCTGTGCAGTAACGGTGGACTCATTTTTCCTCTATTTCAAGTGACTGCTGCTGAAGGAGTTATGCACCCAGTCTCCACTGCATGCAAAGCCCCAAACACTAAAGTGAACTGCAGAGGATCCCTGGGCAGCTAGATCTTGTCCCTGAGAGAAAAGGGCCAAGGCAAGGTTCAGGTGTGAAGGGCTGCACTGTCCAAATACACATTGCTTCGGACACTTCTAGGGATGTTTCTAGGACAGTAATAAACAGCTAAGACATGTGTTTGCTGAGTGTTGGAAGAAGGCCCTGATTTGTCTCTCTCCCATACCAAAGCTGCTTTATACCTCAGGCTATTAGAGTTCACCATTGCCACTACAGCTACAACAGAAGTTTCTCTATTTCTTCCTCCACATAAACAGCAGTCCCTGCTGCAGCCAAAGCCAGTTATTCAGCTCCTCTCGAGGGGCAGAGTGGTCTCACTCTTCAGGGATGCAACCTCCACTCTTCTGCAGAGGACAGGGTAGGAGGCTGAGTGAGGTGCTCACTCCTAGATTTCAACACAGCTTTCCAAACTCTTGTTCCAGTAGGACTTCTACAATGCAAGGAACTGTGACAGTGGTCACCCATCAACCCTAACAGCATTTGAGCCTGATGGTTCAAGGGAAATCAAAGCTTGGGGTAAGGGTCCTTTGCAAACTAGGATTCAATCACCTTCTAAACATTAGATCCCTTCCTGCCCCACACAAATCCATTCTCTCAATTCCACATATGGATGAGTCGCTTGCTAGGGAAGAGGAAAACAGATCCACACAAGCTACAATAGCCAGCAACTTCTGCAAACACAACTTCTGAGCCTGCAGCCCAGCTGCAGCATGTGGGCACACACACATCACTGCTCTACCTGTTCATTACCACCTGCCTTCATCACAGCCACTAACCCCTGGACTTCCCTTCCAGTTAGTTTCAAGGTAAGGCAGAAGAGCAGAGATATCCTCCAGCAACTCTCTCTCTGGCTTAGACAGGCCAGGAAGGACTGACCATGCTGTTGAAGTGGCATATTGAAAAAGCTGCTGCCAGCTGTATGGGTAAGCCACATCCCCAGCTGGGAGAGCTACAGCCTCCTTCCTGAGCTTTGCCTGTTGCTGCTCTCACCTTGCTGCCTTGGACATGGCAGATTTGATATCTCCCACCAGTGGCTCTGAATGACCAGAGACACTGGCCCACTCTAGAAACTGGAACACTGAGTTGCTAAGAAGGATGGAGCCCCATCCAAGTACCATGATACTGGGATGCATGGATAAAGTTCTTCTGAACTGCCACTGTCTTACTCTGCCCATGAACACCTCCATTATTTACACCTTCAGTCCTGTGGCTTTCAGCTCATGAGTACTGCTCTTTGAGAGGAAAGCCCTTCAGGTGACACCTCCCTACACGAAGGAAGGGGAAAAAAAAAAAAAAAAAAGACTGCATGAAAGTAGGAAGGGGAGAGAAAAAATTTTCCCATTGAAGCAAGACAATCAAAAGTGTTAACAATCCACTTAGAAAAGAGGGTCCTACAATGTTTTTGTTTAGCAGTAGTATTTTTAAGCCTACAGATCACAAACAGGAAGCCACCATTACAATTTTCCCTTGCAAAGTGCTTTCACAGCAAAAACTATAGCCACGTTTGGTTTCTTTCAGTGGTGCAGGGGCTACCACAAACATACATGAGGTTTGCAACTTAAACAGTATTCTGGAGATATGGGCCCCCTTGCAACCAAAGTGTAACTCCATTTTGTATCTCCAAGACTCTAACCAGTGGATATTTTGTATGAAGCAAGATTTGCTGAAGGGAGCAGTGGAGCTTTCAGTAGATGTATCACTTAAGAGGATTGATGTAGCATTCGACATATCAGATTTCTATTCAAAAGTCTTTAGGAGAAGATATTTGCCACTTCATGACTGATACATAAAGTTACTGGAAAGACTTAACACAGAAAAATGGTTTCATGAGAGAACCAGCAGAGCATCAACCAGTAGAAAGACACTGCTCCAAATTACTGACAAATCATGCTGGTTTCACTCAGATACTATGACAGGTAATGGCACGAAACACAAGTCAGTGAACCATCCCAGATCTACCATCATAGTTGTATTCCCACATCTACAGAGAATACAAAAGTGTTTCATTTTGATTAAGTTTTGACTTAACAATTACCAGAAGAAAAAAAAAAAAAAGCAAACAAAAGTATAATTTGTATTCCCCAGCTGCAGCTTCCATTACATCAGCTACACCATTGAGGTCAAGTGGGCTGAATAAACTTTACTACATGCTGCAAAGCACATACATCAGCTAAAGGCTGCACTTTGGAAATAATGAGATAAGAGTCCTGCTCCCATTCAAGATGAAAATGGCATAAAGGCACCTCTGTTCTTAGCATGTGACACCCAGAGATCTGTTAATAGCTCCATTAGCCAACTTTACTTATATTTCTTTACCACTAACTTGCAAGTTAAAGATACTTTCCCCAGCTGAACTGAGGTATCTCTATTGGAAATTCAGCTGCACTAGTAGATTTGAAGAAGGCACACATAAAGAAGCAATCAATGCCTGTTTGGCAAAGAGCTATGATACAAGTCTGTCGCATCATGCATTACCCAACTGCAACCCACTTAGCTTGGAAGGAAAGGATTAGTATGTGTCACTGCCCCTCCTCCCCAGACACAAACAGTATTTAAAACATGCACAACACGAATTTCTGCACTGTTTGGACTACCCAACTCATACCACCCACTTGTAGCTGTGCTCTGTCCAGCCCTCCCAGACACGCTGGCAGCCCAGTGCTCAGTCCACTAGTTATTCCAAACCCTCACTTCCCTATCAATCTTTCTCCTCTTTCCTCTTCTCCTCCCCAAAGAAAGGCAGGCTTCTCTTTCTCTTTTACTCTGTTTCTACCTAAAGCTTCCTGAAGAAAGACAGTAGAGGCTTGGGCCAAAATGTAGAGGCAGATCCTGGTGGATCACTGGGAGAGTGTGGACAGCAGAAGACAAATCCCATGTCCTTGTAATGGCCCACAATACTACAGAGAGTGCTTTTTATAGCAAGTGAGATTTCCTCCCAGCAACTGTAGTACAGGTTGCTGCAGTCCAGCTGGGAGGTGTGCATATATACAGAACAAAGCATCTGAGCTGTACAATGCCCTACATTGC